ACAGATAAATGATTTCAATATAAGCTAGGAAAGAATCTGAAGGGAAGGGATGAGGAGAAAATTTACTGAAAAAAACTAGCAGACTTCTGAAAAAAATTTTTGCAACTTCACTCGCTCAAAAGCCGATCGCAGTTTCTACTGAAAAAACTAACTGAATCCAAACATTGACTATAGCACATCGTTCCTCTTCAGAAACTGATACCTGCAATTTGCTAGGAAAATTGATTTTTTTTTCTCTTCCGCTCAGTAAAACTAGCTGGAACAAGCCGCTGCTTAGGAAGTTGAGAGCGGTAAAGTGCAGCACAGATGATGTACCCGTTTCAAGTGCTTTTTACCGCAGACCGCATAAAAAGTGAAAGTATAATTAAGTGTTAAGTGTCAACTTTAAGTGTTTTTAAGTCTTATTTTTAAGTGTTGTTTTGGGTATTCCGCAAAAAGAATGAATGAAAAAACTGCTTTTACAGCTGCTTCTTTTGGTAGTAAGAAGTAGAAAATTTTTTTGAATCATGTTTTTTACTAGCAGTGTGTTTTTTACCAGCAAGTAGGCACTAAAACTCAAGTCATGATCAACTAACTAAGCTTCAACGCCTGTTTGATTCGGATGAACTAATTTGTATTTTAGTTCATTAATTCTGGATTGTTTGTTTGTACGTGTGTTTTTTTTTATTTTTACCAATCGCGTGGTGAAACTGTTCTCGCGCATGAGCGGCCTGGTAAACTTTTATTCCAGTCGAACAAACCGGTCGAAAAGAAAAGAAAAGAAGTAGACGAACAAAAACGGATTGATTCCAGAATCCAAGAATTATTCCTCTCAACCAGCGAAGAAAGAAGCTGCTCAGAAAAAACGAAATTCTGATTTCAAACAAATTTCCTAGTTTTTGTTCAGATCGTTTTTTGTCGTTAGATCGATTCCAAAGAAGTGAACTGGCATGGAAGCGGAAGAGCTTCATCGGAAATTTTCACGCCTGTGTCCGTCTCTGTTACAAATATCGTTCCAAATCCCAATGACTCACGGATTTCTGCTGTTTCTTGATAGTTGTGCAAGAGCACACAACCAATTGACGTTACAGAAACACCGAAAAATTTGCAAAACTGAGGTTCAATTCTGTTGACTAATAGAATGGATTATTAGACTTGCTATGTTCAACAAATGAAAGCAGTGTTTGTTTTCTGGTTTATGTCATCGCACAGTACCACAGTTGTTATCAATTCAAACGTCGTTCCGGTATTCCTTCCGTCCCTCAGATATTTTATTTGTCGTAGCAGCCTTCTTGCTCCTCTCCACTGCTGCTACCACCATTGCTTGGGCATCCACTGAACGGCCCAAAATGGCTCATTCTGGCTATTGTTGTTAATAGTAAATAGCAGCACTTTCTGGAAAAAAAAGCAACCATGCAAGCACAATCCAGGTGAATGGACAGACAGACAGACAAACAAACGGACAAACATACAACTGCCACTACCACAAAGAACGATGATGGCTCAGTAGTCGGGGAGCGACTGGAGGACAGCTGGATTATGAGTGAGGTATGGGGAGGGGGACCGGGGCGTCATGTAACCAGTTGCAGCACTAGTGGCAGAAACCATTAAAAAAAATTTCCACTTTTCAAGCCCCGAATTTGTTGATTGTTGTTTGAGGGAATAAGAGGGAGATTGAGGGATGGGGAGGGGAGGAGGAAAGGGACATGAACGGACGGGCTGGAATAGAGTGGCGAGGCAGTCTGGAGGGCGGGGAAAGGAGAGGCTTTCCCCCTGTACCTCATGGATTACCAGTTTCAGATTGCTGGGGCAGTGTAGCACCAGCAGCCTCACCTGTGCTCACTCAATTCATAATCACAATTCACGGCAGGTGGAAAAATGGTTCTTACTGTCTCGCATCTACTTCTGATGAAAATGCATCCAGCGAGTATTGGGTGGTTGCATGAGTTCCTACCAGTCGCCGTCTCTTCACCCAGTATGCTCCAGGAAAGATTTATGATGCCAGCACACGTATTACGGCATGGATTTTACTGGGCAGCGACCAAAATGCTGAAATTCTTGAACATGTTTTTCACGATTCTGTGGCCCAATGCGCATAGAACCACTTTTCCCTTTTTTTCATTCATCCTTATTCATCGTGCTTAGCTTTTAAATTACTTCGCAGGCACGTCTTGCCTTCCAAAGGGGTAAGAAGTGGAATAGTTCTAGTACAGATTCTTATATTTTTATGCGTTTTGTGCTGTATAACAGCAGTTCAAAATGCATATTGTCATGAGTTTGTCTGTGTGTGTGTTTGTGTGTATGTGTATCCGCAACAACTTGTCCGCAACTTTCAACTCGGGAACCACAAAAGCTAGGCGGCTGAAATTTTGGTATAGTGTTCCCTGCCAGCGGGTGACGCGGCAAATTTAAATTCAGCCTTCCCGTACCCGCGGGTAACACGCATGGCCCGGTGAAAGTTTTTTACGGGTAAATTAATATCTCGGGAACCACGGAGTCCAGGAGGCTGAAATTTTAGGGTGATGATCCCCTGGCCACACTCAACCTTGCCTGTTCAAATTCAGCATTCTCTCGGTTTTGAGTATCACCTACGGCCTCGTGAGATTTTTGGCGGTTAAACTATTAACTCGGGAATCACGGAAAGATATTCACCCTTCAAGGTTTCGAATTCCGGTTTTATGTGCTGGTCCATGAAATTTTTAACTGTTTTCCAATGTCTGAACTATTTTTGCACAGACTAAAGTACAAAGCAGTGAAAATCATTAATAGACAATCCTTCGATGGGCTGAATTGCACAAAACGCATGGTCGCACCGACTAGTCTGGTGCGCGTTGCTATTTATTTCTTTTGCATTACATTCGCTAAAACTGGCATATGCTAGGAAACCAAACTCGCCATCAGTTTGCTTGAAAGCAGCTGGCGAAAGAGAGAGCTATCGACAGCCTTGCCAGTAGGCGTTTGCTGTTGGCATTTGCTAAGGAGCACCCCTGCCACTGGAGAGAGTAATTATGGACTGTTGCCTTTTAGATTTGCTGAAACATAGCATTCTAGCGTTTTATTTGTTGAGCTAAGATGTAGATGATTTAATGTACCAAAACATCTTAACTCACCATTTTCTTATTCATTCATACTTACTTCGCCCCACGCTTTCGCTCTCCAAGCTCCTAGGATCTACGTATGCGCTACAGTCAGCTTATCACTTCTGCGTTTTTGTTTTCTTTTTTGTGCTTTCTTCCACTAGCCAGTTTGAATGGGTTTGGTTAAATTTGAAATCTCATTAACTGAATACTGCGCCTATAGGTCAAAATTTCATGCTTTCTGATTCGACTATTTTTCATTTCTTTTTTGTCCCAATGCAAGCGATTTTGATGTATCCCGAATTATAAAGAAGGAATGGAGGTCTCCTCCTCATCCCAAATGCCTCAGGGCAACTTTCTTCGTACCATCAACATTAGTAATTATAGTATAGTACTCATAGTTATAGTAATTACAGTGAAATTGTTTTTACTATTTTCCTCCCTCCTGAAATATATGAGGAGTACCGGCTTGAAAAAAACCTGCTTTCGCACAGGTTACTCGAAATTTATTACTGCCAGCCCTTGAAATTTTCCTTCATATAAACTTTTTTGCTCGAGTACCATTCCAAAGCGCGCGTGAACCATTATAAAACTTAACCGTCATCAATAGAACCAATTGCGTTAGTCTGTGGGAAGGACGAGGGTGGAACATCTTCGTTTTTCTCTCACTTTGACTAAAAACTGCAAAATTGCAGAAAGTTACTATTCTTTTTTTACTGGCATTCCAAGCTTCTGCTGTTTCGCTTAGTTTTTTTTTCCTTAATTTATCTGCGGTGGAAAGCGATGAAACTTTTCTCTGAGTAAATTAAACTCAAAGGGCAGGGGGCAGGCAGAGAAAGTCTCTAGATAATGGGTCGTATTCCACCAAGCTCCGCCATTTCTCCGCAATAAAAGCAACAAGAAAAAACGAAAATATTTCGTGAGTTTAATAAATTTAACGCATTTATGCACGTATCCGAAATATCAGCGCCTTCGGGCGATCAGTTTGCAACCTCATGTTAGTGATGTTACTCGGATGCTCATACACGCCGGACGCAGCTATGTCAGATCCTTCTTTGACACTGTAATAAGGTTGCTTAAATCAAATATACCTCAAAAAAGACGTGAATTTAGGGAAATTTAGAGAAGAAAATACTGCAAAAAAAACGTGAATTTAGAGATGAGGGGCAGAAAAAAATCTAAACTGCGAAAAAACTGTAGAAAATCTGAACTGGAAAAACACAGTGATTGTGGAAAAACAACTATAAACGTTCCTTGATTGTCATAAATAAATGGAGATTCAAATATGAAAAAACTACAAACATTCTGGATCGTAGCACATTTCTGTATATAATAACGTCTACATGCCCCAGCATTTTTGCGTGCCCTCTCCATTCCTTTAGATCCATACCACAGCAACAATGTCTATGTTTTCTAGGTTTGGTCAAAATTCATATCTGGCATAAAATTAGCTTTAGATATTCTTGCTGTTTCAAACGTCTGCTAGAGACTTGGCTGCTGCAAATTAAAAATGATTTTTTTTTTTTTCAAAACTGTTTTTGAGTTTATTATATTAGCACGTTCCGTATCCACATTTTCCTCTCCTTTACTGTTTTGCTGTTGCAGTTCTTAAGAGGGACTGGTAAAAAATCTGAATTTTGTCTGAAAAGCAAAACGTTTGCTGGACCCCCGGGAAACTGTACCGAGCTGAATGCACTGAGCTCACTTTTTTTATGTATTGTCACTCAACAGCCCCATCGTAAAGAACTAATCTTCTTCCACCAATCCGGAAGGCAAATTTTGACTTGCACAATAAATGTCTTTTGTTCAAATTTTGTCCCTTCTCTCGTGCGTAGAATAACTTGTTCCTACTGCTTCAGTTGATTTCTCGTTACTTCAGATTCCGGAAGCCCCTTGCGCCTGTTGTTCTACTGTGCAACACCGTGCGCTGCAGTACCAGAAATCATGTCCTTCGTACACGCTCCGATGGCTCGTCAGCCTCTTGGTGGGCGTCTAAGGGAATCTACAGGTGATGCGATATTCAAACACATATTACTTACAAAATATTAATGCTAAATCTTTCTTCTCCTGTTCGTTACTGTTATTAAATTTGCCATTCCCCTCCTTCCTGCCTTCATTTTGCATGTACAGCTTCACTACCAATTATCTCACTTAGTTTATTTGTATGCAATAACTTGTTTTTTAGCGACAAGTGGTCGCACGCTGAAGATTGTCACGGAAGTTGGGTCTACAACGTCACTAACAGGTGGTACGGGGATGCTGAGCGGTGCATCTCCGTTTGGCCAGAATGCCGCGTTAACAATCCGTGATAGCCGCGAGCGGGAGAAGAAGGAAATGAGTGATCTGAACGATCGTCTTGCCACCTACATCGAAAAAGTAAGCAAAACCATTTCTGTAGGCAAAGGTAATTCCTCGAAAATGTCAAGGCACCCCCAGAAATCCCTCAAAAAGCCAACAAAAATTGATAAGGTATATGCTCCACTATGGTGACTCTAAATGCTGCACTACGACAGCAGCATCAGTCAAATAAAACGGCACGCACAAGAGTGGCATACATACATACAAATATAAATGCTCCATTTGCTGAATGAAGCACAAGGGCCGGTAGTGTAAAGGACAAGATACGACAAAATTCGAAGGATCCCGAGTCAGTGAAAATGAAGAGTTCGATTTCCTCTTGGTCCATAAACGTCTTGCAAAAGAGGAATCCGTTCGCGACACTAGGAAGCGGTCATTAATTTAGGACGAAAAAAAAACGATTCAGGCGTGCTGAAGCTTGTCACAGATTCCTGGCTTTTTTAAGCCACATCATTACATTTTAAATGTTTATCACAATAACGTGAGCGGCTTTGAGAAGGAGGAATATGTCTGCTTATTTTCCTGCTTCAAACTGTAGAAAGATTCCAAGTTTAATGAATTATGTTTCAAAATTACACAGATTTATCCTAAAATTCATTGAGTTGCCGAACCCAGAAAAGCTTCACAATTTTCACTCTCTCTACGAAGGCTGTACTAGAAAATGCGACATGCTGTATACGTATACAGCTGCTAATTTCGTTCTGGTTAACGATATTACGCTGCGCACAGTAAATGTCCATTAGATCTAGCTTTCAGCCGAAATCTTCTCAATTGGCGTAAATGATTGTGCCAGCCTCTGTGTCTAAACCGGATTTTCGGATTCACTTCACTGAGTCGAATCAAATGTACGGTGCCATCCTGTGAATGTCCGAAATACACCAAAAGCCTAAAATGGATAGTGTGGCAGAAATTTGCGCACTTTTGACTATGCATATAAAACAAATACACATCACGTTGAGTTTCTTTTTTCAAATAAACGAAAATTGCCAAGATGCAAAAGGAAGTGGAACAATGCGGACCAGTTTTGAGGCCACAGACCTGAAATCAAGCAGTTTTGATGCCAAAAAACTGAAATCAACTTCAAACTTGAAATTGCCTGTAATCCCTAAATGTAATTCGAGGTCAATACTATGAACGCACTACAAAGAAAACTCTAAATCAAAATTTCTGAAGGATTGCTGGTCGGCAGACTATAAATCAACTTTTAATTTATCTCGATAATGGTTTATGATCTCATTCTCAAACTAGGCTTTATGTG